TTTTCCTCCCCCTCCTTCTGTATGCTGCATTCAACTGTCAACATTCTTTTGCCTTTATCTGCGCGCTCTTTAGGATGTCCATATAAAGTTGCTAAATGGAATTTTTATTGGTCAGCCTAGCTTAATAATCAAACAGTTTCCAGGGTGGTTCTGTCTAGTGTTGTGTGGATCCATTCTGAGAAAGAGGACCCTCAGTTATTTTTTTTCGGTCCACTGCAATTTTTTAGTATGTAATTGGGATTTAATTGCTGGAAAGGCAAGCCAAGCCAGCTGCTTGACTAGATCAAGTAAGGCCTTAGTCATTGGTATATTGATCTGGAACATCAACATCCTAATTAGAGATTAGCGTATCGTATCGGTGTATTGTGTAGAAGGCCACATAGCATGTGGCGTAAGAGGCCCTTGAAATGTAACACCACAACAAAAAAGAAAGCTGGATATTGTGGTTGTGTGGTAAATAGCCTTTGAGCAAAATGTAACATAGACTTTAAAATAATGATCATCTTTTAAGATCAGAAGTTGCCCATAATTACTGATAGTTGACTGAATTCCAGCAATGGAAATTAGTTGAACTGTTAGGGGGTATACCTTTTGAGGGTGTGAAAGTGTTCTTGTGGTGAACTAAATTATTTGCCATCTGTAGCAAATTACTGGCTTTCATTTCTTTTGTCCCAAAACTAACAAGTGGCCATACCTGCACTTAACGTGCGTTAATTGCTAAAGTCAATAAAAGTTTAAAAAGTAAACAGTCTATAAATCCTCTTTAAAATAGATGCAATTGCTTTATGAATCAGCAAGCAGGAACTCTGTGGTCCTCTGGGTGGTTACTGTTTTGCTGGACACTACTCTTGTTTGTAAAGCAGAGTTGCTCAAAGTCTGGCCTAAGAGGTGATTGCATAAATTTGCTGTTGTTCAGGAGCTGTCTCTTCAAGATACAAATTATAGCGTATCATTAATTACCTGCCCAGATTTTTACTGGTGCCCCTAAAGCTCTCAGTGAAGCTGGGAGACACATTGCATCTTAGGAATTTAATGTGGCTATCCAAACATTTATTACCATTCTGTTCCCTGCCGGAGGGAGAGAAGAAGGGTTATGGCAAGTTCTGCGTAAGTGGAGCACTGGGTCAAACAGGCAGGTGGGACTGCTTTGCAGACAGCAGACTGCTTCTGCTTTGGCCTTAGCTGTGTTGGGGATTTGCCTGCAAAATGTCCTCTTTATTTCAGGTAGTGATAAAGATGCCGATACCAGGCTTTAGGTGCCCTTGTATATATGCGTCTAATATTACAACATGACCTGAGACCAAGTGGGTCACCAAATTTGGGGCTGTCTTGAACCCCTGTTGCTTCTGGTAGCGCGGCTATAGCAGATGTTGACAGCAGGGAAGAAAACGGTTTCAACTGTCCTGTAACACTGGGTTTAAGACTAATGCTGAACAATTTTGAATAGCATCCTGGTGAAGGAAGATTGCTGTGAAACTGCCACTGCTGCTCTCAGTTGCCACAGATATTTATTTTGGACTCTTCCTGCTAGCAGTTCGGGTAGTCAGGCCAAAGCCCAGTGGATGTTAAACCCTTGCCAGCGGGGGACTAGCCAGTGCCCTGGTCAAAGTCAGACTATTTGACTGAAATCATGGCAGTAGGTCTCGGAATCGGTACCCTCTATCTCTGTCTGTGCCAACAAGCTTTGACTTGGGAATATTTAGTAAAATTTGTATTAATGAAGGTGGCAGATGGAAAAACTTGTTATAGGGGAATTCTTATTTTTCAGCTGCATATTTTGGGCTTAGCCAGTTGCAGTCTGTCCAGGGAATTGGAAGTAGGGTTTGTTTCAGTCACACTTTTGCAACCACATTTCTTTGCAGATTGAAATACCTGAGTAACAGAAGGATCTTTTACTGATTCAGTTGGCACAGAAAATTGTCAGTCTATGCCTGTTAGTTTGCGTCAGTGAGGCGCAGAGTTCATAGATGATCTGTATATCAGTTTTTAGTGACTTCTTAGCCCTCCTTGGAGTCAATGGGAGTTCATCTTTCTGCAGACTAAGTCACTATTTTTACCCTTGTTTTAGAAAGGGGTCTTGTTCTCAAGCATCCAAGTCCTGATTCTTCGGGTATTTTTTTTCTGCAGTTTTTATAATGATGAGGTTGGCATTGTCATTCACCGTTTCAGGTGCTTCGCTGTTGGTGAAACAGCTCAGTACTATAGAAGCACAAATATCTGAACCCTGTCCCTGTCCGTGCTACGCCAAGGAATTACTGGGTAACATTAGCCATGGAGCAATGAATGGAATAAGTTGTAGGGAGGAGAATTTTTAAAACTTGATACTGAAACGTTGTCTATACGGTTATAAACATTGTCTATATGGTTATAAACGGTGAGGAATTGGGACCAAATTTTCCTCACTCACAAAGTTCCGTGGAAGGAGAAATAAACGGCTTATTTATGAAGTTTGCTTGGGAACAGTCTTGTTTTGATCGCCATTCTGTGTGGGAATTGGTGTTAAACATTCAGAGGTAAAGGGGAAGCAGTTATTATAAAATACCATATTGAATAAGGTTTTTCATGGTTTAAACTAAGGCTTACATCACATGACCTATATATCTTTCATCAAAGCATTTTATTTCCTCTTTGGCTTTTCATTTAATATTAACTGTGTCTCCACAACAGTGTCTTTTTTACCAGTGGGCAGAATCTGTTTCTAACTCGATCCAAGTGGAAAAACTCTAGTCAGGATGAGGTGTGTGGTACCTATTGTCTGCATGTTACGGTGTTCCTGTCCCATGCGCGTGGTGGGAAGATATGTGCTGCAGAGTCTCCTAGGGCTTGATTTCAGTTTGAAGGAGCCAATGTTTTTTATGCCCATTATTCTATTTTGTCTCGTACAAAGTACAAATAGGCAAATCAGACTGCCCAAAGAGTAGGAGTAAGTAAGAGCACAAAGGTATCCCAACAAACTGTTAAGCGCTGAGATACTTGGTGAATGACTGAAAGTGCTTGTGCCTCTACCATTGCCTTACTGTGTAGCATTTGGCGTGTCACGAAACTTCGCTGTCCCTGTTTCCCTGTCTGAGTCCTGGCATACACGTATTCTGCTACCTCTTGGAAGCTCATGGTCTCAAATCTGAAACTAATTTTCTGTAATGATCAGTTAGCCTAATATTTGCTTGGGAAAGATCTCTAAGTGCAGGAGATGCTTGTCTGGATAAATTTATTTGACACAGTGAACTGTATCTCTCTGTGTTGCTGGTGAACTCTGTCCCCAACCCGAGCCATTGAAGCAGCCAAGTTCTTCAAATGGCTTTGCCAAAATCTGCTTCGATCCGAACGTTATCAATTATAAACAACGTAGCTAGCTATGACCAATTCTGTGAACCTGATCCTGGTCTTTTCTCTGCTGATACAACAGCATTGGTTATGTGGGGAGAGATGT